CAGATGAACATTTATAATAGTAGAGCGGATAAAAGAAAAATGATGCATATTGTGATATAAGCACCAAATGTGCTATGATGGTTTTCTTTGAAGTACTTGTCAAGTTTGCCTGATTGGCCTTTTGAAAATCCAATATGGCTGCCAAAATGAGCTTATTTCGTGTTCTATTAGAGAAGCCTTATACACTTATGCATGCTCACAACCACACACAAATAGAAGCAGGGATGCTTATGTAGGCTTTATATGTAGATACTGTATATAGATATGTATATGAATGTATATTCATGTGTATGTATGTATGTATATAGGCATAGGTATGGGCATATATATTTATGGAAACTTACTGCAAAGCCATGAATATTTTAAGTTCTTTATACATATGTATTTTGTTGCTGTGTTTTGTCATGTTCTTCGCAGGTGAACAGACAGTGGCCGGGTGTTTTGCCGTGTGCTCTCTTTGTGTATACTTCTTATATTTTGGCGTCTTACTTTGTCTTTTCTTTCTTTCTATCCTATTAAAAATAATAATAAAACCCTACACTAGATAGTCACTAGAATAAATATTTCATAATAATGGTGTGGAGAGGATGGCTGTAAGGGGAGAAGGGAGGCCATCAAAAAAAAAAAAAAAAAGAGCTTATTTCTACACAGTAATCATGTGATAATAAAATCACTTGATTAATTTAAAAGATCTTTGTGTCAATTCATATGTTTTCTTCTGTCAGTAGCCTTGTCTTATGCAACATCATATTAGTAAATTAATGATAATTTTGTCCATCCATTATCTTTACCCGCTTCTTCCTTTTTGGGTCACGGGGGGTCACTGGTGTCCATGTCCAGCAGTCACTGTGTGAGAGGCGGGGGACACCCTGGACAGGTCGTAAGTCTATCACAGATGGATAATAAATGATAAATTAACCATTTTGGATCTTGGACTCTTGGGAACAACCATGCCATGCTTGTGTCATATTTTGCACAGTTTTTGTGCAAATTCAGTTTTAGCCACTCCAATAGATTAACTGTGGAGTCAACCTGTTTCAAGATGGCTGCCGCAGCTGATGGAACTGTGGTAGTAGCTAAGAGGAATCCTCATCACGTATTCCAGACTATGGGGATTCCAGTGTGTTCTTTCTGTTTGTCTCCAACCATCTTCCACACAGCTCCTGAGTGACAGGTGGAGCTAAGTCTACACAGCTGCAGCAGATGAGATAATGATCCCTCACAACAACCATTTAAGCAACCTTTTCTTCGGAAGCCATCACTGGAGCGTTTGGTTTACTTGGTTGACTATCCACAGCTTTTAAGACTTCTTGTGATGCTTGAGATCAATCTAACAAAAGCAAACCTGTGTTGATATTTTTCAGTTCTGCTTACCTTTAAGAATCCTACCTGTGTTCTGGGATTTTATCTGGTCCCACCTGTCGCTCTCTTTCGTACCACTCACTGCTTGGAGATGCCTGGTTCTCATTGCGGGTTAGCTCACCTGGTCCTGGAGTCCTTCCTGACCCTCCCTCAGCGCCTGAAAGACACACATCCACAGTAAGAGCTTATCCTTCTGTCTGACATCATTCTGAGTTTTAACATTAAATTAGATACTCACCATACTCCGGCCTCCACAGATTGATGATGCACCATCATATACTTGCACCTGTAAATCCATGTCAGTCCACGTCACGTGCTCCGCAGTATGGCAGCACTGATGAGAGCTCTGCTTAGACTTGCTCTTTTTATTCCTTGTTTTAGTTTAGGCTTTTTGTGCCTGCGCTACACTCCCATGCCACGAGTATGACGCAACGCACTTTTGGAGTTGCGATCGTCAGTGAGGGGGGACTTTGGGCTGACTTTTGGGGACTCAGTGGCGGACATTTTCCCCTGGATCCTTTGTTTACTTGTGCACAGTAAGAGGAAAACACAAAGAGGGAAGCAAGCTGGTGTTTTATGCAGGACCCGCCAGAGATGAAGCTAACACTCCCTCTCCCCTCGGTCCTTCAGGCTCTGAGGAATAAACTGGGTGACCTGCGTGCACAGACTTGTTGCGAGTAGGACAGAGGAGCTGTTGTGCCTTTGCCTTGACAAACCATGGCTGGAGCCATCCATCCCCGACTGTGCTGTGGCTCTGGACGACTTCTTTGTCTACTGGCTTAGCGGAGCTGGATCAGATCTGGGCACCTAGTGTGTTTGTTGCTATTGTGCTATGCGGCTGTATCGTGTGTCACTGTCTTGCCATCATAATTCGGTTCATCTCAGAGTTGCTCACTGCTTGAGCGGCAGTCCTGTGTATTTTGTGCAATGTATATCATGTGCAATTGGGTAATGTTGCTGCCTGTGAAGTACTGATTCATCCTGCTTGCACCGTTGTATTCTGCCATGTTGTTTACTGTGTTTCTTTTGCATGTTTTTGTGCTTAATTTTTACGTTTGTTGCATGCTTTAGTATTGTTCTTTTTTTAGTGAGTCCAAACAGTTTGTCTCATCCTGAACATTTCATTGTTAACCTGCATATGACAATAAACAATAAACTAACCGAATAAAAGCACGTTCTGTTTTACTTCCATGAATATTTTTTTGTCCTCAGAAATCCAAGCTATAGATCTAAATGGTCAAAACAGCCAGCTGATCTAAGAAAACACAAAAATGGCTACAATCCACTCTGTTTTTCAAGAACTGAGCTAAAATTTGGTGTGGTAGTAGCTGAGTCACCCAACACAAACTCTGATTGGGTCTTATTGCACAGGGTCCACTTTAAACTTTGCTGTTAACTATTAAAGTAAACAGTGTCTATCAGCAAAATACCTGAACATTTTAATGACAGTTTAGTCAATCCATTCCAGGTTTGCCATCACAGCTAATTGGCATTAGTCAGCACAAAATGACTACAACCCAATCAGTTTGACTGATATTGACCTAAAATTGACAGTGAAGTGGTGAGTCATTCACAAAACATACTCTGAGTGTGATGTCTTATAATTTTGCATTTAATTGTATATAATCTTTTAAAGAATGTTTGACCAAAAAAACGATCCAACATTTCTCAGCATGATCTTTGTCTAAAACTGGCATTACAGATGGTGGGATGCGTTCCTTCAAAGTTGACTAGGCCTTTAATTTTTTAAGAATAGTAAAATGCAAAATGTTTCAAGAGTACCTATCTGGTAAAGTATACAAACTTGTGGATATGGACTGCTTTATGTATGACATTTTCTTTACAATCGGTTGGAAAATTATAATCAAGGAATTTGCTTTTGCTGCTGGCAGCATTTATCAATGCAAACAAATCAGAGATGCTTTCTTCTTGAATTTTTTATGACCTACCGTGCACGATGGCAGTGTGAATCTATTACACTGGTCCTTCAAGGTTTTATATATATATATATATAGATATAAAAATACATATATAT